TTTTTTATTTAAAAAAAAAAATTAATGGTGAGTTAATTCGCGACATTTTTACAATAAAAAATTTATTAAATATTTTATTGATGAGTTAATGTTAGGAAATTGTTTTTTTTTTTGTACGGATGGTTGCAGAAATAAAAAAATTGTGCAAATTTTTTTTTTTTGCATAAATTTTCCGCGTTGATTTTTAAATTGACACGCGAATTATTTGTTTCGAATTAAAAATATTTATAATTTTTTTTTTTTTTTCAATTATTTACATTCTGTAAAACATTAATTAACAATCAAAACGCTTTTATTTTTTTTTTCTTTAATTAAAACAATCAAAATTTTTTTTTTATTTGTATTTTAAATTATTTTAAAAACAAACAACAAAAAATTTTTTTTTCTTCTTTGTTTTGATTTGTTTGATTTTTTTTTTATTTAATTACTTAAATCGTTTAATCATTGTAAAACAAAAAAAATTTATGGGGGAGCCTCTTTAAATATGGGGGCCTTAAATATGATTTTAGTTATACCCTTTGTATGAAAATTTTAATTTAAACAACAATCGAATTATTTCCGGCGATTCAAAATAACGTTTTTTTTTTTAAATTCTAACATTGAGATTTTTTCTCGGTAATAATCATTTTGAAAAGGTCATATTTCTCCCCGTAACCTTTTAAATCAATATCATTATTATTATTATTATTTGGGCGGTTCGCAAAAAGTTTTTCCGGGGTGGAAATTTGAATTTTTTTTGCAAATTGCCGTCGAATAATATTTATATAAATATATCATCCATGTTTGTTTCATAAAAATAATTTAATATACAAGGTTAAATTATGAAATCGAGTAAATTATTACAAAACAAACAAAACAAACAAACAAACAAACAAGAAAAATTTTAATATAAAACTTACCAGATTTACTGATGATCCTTCTTCTTGAGAAGGAGGATTTGTAGAATCCGTCATCTCAAATTTTTTATTATTTTTTTTTTGGTTGTTGTAAATTAATTAAAATTAAAATACCTGTAACAAACAAACAAACAAAGATTTAGTTTTTTTAAAAGACTGTCGCCGCCATTTTTTTTTTTTTTAATAATTAATTTAAACAAATATTCGGTATTGAGCAAGATGAAAAAAAAAAAAAAAAATTATTTAGACCGATAGAAACCAATTATGGTTGGTAAGCCAAAGGCAATGAGCTCCTTTTTTTTTTTACACATGAAGAATCGTTGCTGCCAAAAAGGTCATGGGTCAAATTTTTTTTTACTTTTACTAATTTTTACTATTTTATAGGTATAAAATTTTAACCTTCCTTTCACGTTGGTATAAATGCAATTGTTAGTGGTAGCAGCAATAGTTTTTCCTTTATTATAAAAAAAAAATTTATTTTTTCATCCTCTGGTGATAAGAGATAAGAATTTTAATTTTCGTGTGTTTTGTGTCGAATTTTCTATTGCCACGAGTCATTATTAATCAAACTATAATTTAAAACTAAAAATATTTGTTTATAATTTTTTTTTTTTAGTTATATAATATATATTATTATCAGTTACGTAATTATGTAATAAATCAACTCGTATAAAAATAATAATAATTTTATTTATTTATTGATTTTAAAAATCATTTTTACATCGAATAAACAAAAAATTATGATAGTTAAATAGTTAAAATAATAAACAATTTATAATTGTTAATAACAAAATACACCGTAACGTACATAAACAAACAAACAAAAAAAAAATTATCTTATTGTTTATTGTAATGTTTTAATTTATTAAAATAAAATAATAAATAAATTTTTTTTTTTTTTTTAAATGATTAATAATGATCGAAATGACCTTAAATACTAATCACTATTCCATTAACGTAGGTAATTCACAATGGAAGACAACGAACAACAAATAATAATATTAATAATAATAATAATTAAAAGGTTATGATCTCAAAAACGTGCCAAAAAAAAAAAACAGTGAATCCCCGTTAATTTAAATTCCTTTTTTTTTTTAATTATTTATATAATGATAATAATATGTGACGTGTTGCATTTAAATATTATTAATTAATAACTTTATTGATATTATTTATTAATTTATTTATACATA